ATCTGTAACATATATTAGCGAATACTTATTATCCTTTAGGTAGATGGGTCTTCTCTGTCCTGTTATGCCCTGATATCTCCCAGTGTATCCTTGTTCCAACCTACAGGGATTGAAATAGCGGCAGCCCCCATAGGTATCAACTTCCTTGAGGCATGATGGATCTCTTCATCAAAAAGGGAGGCAAACATATTCGTTAGTTCCATATCTGCTAGCATTTGGGTATATTATGATTTCTATGGGTTTTTGACAGCCCAGCCCACTAGGGGGCAGTCTGTGGTTCTGATTACCTGATTTTTTCCTTGAAATGTTTCTCTGACATTAAAATCTCCAGAACATAGTATTAGGGAGAGTGGGGCTGGCTGAAGCGTTGCTGTTAAGCAGGGTAAAAATGGCCATGAGGATGACAGAGAAAGAAGCTCGGAGGGGCATCTGCGGCGAGCAGTCTCCACTAGATCATGAATCTCTTTCCACGTGATCCGGTGTGGTTTTGTGTATCATTTCCTCCTCTTCCTTTTCTTTGTCTCTGACAGGGTCATGCAAGCCATCTCTTTTGTGGGCGGGGAGGTGCCGGACATTTCTGGCTGGAACCCAGATAGGCTTTGGTTGATCCTGTGGGAAAACACAAGCAAATCCCCTCCCTGTGGTCAGCAATGGATCTGGCCCTTTCCAGATGTCATCAAGGGGGGCCCTCCATTTAACTATGATGGGTGGTTTGGGGTGTGTCTGGCCCAGTGTCGGGTGATGGGGGGCGTCAGACCCTCGATATACATTAAGTATATTAAGGGTAAACAAGGCTAATGTTAATTGAATATTGGGAGAATATGTTGTTTCAGACTATCTTTTTAGTTGGTCTTTTATGGTTTTATGTGACCTTTCCACAATGGCATGTCTTGTGGGTTGTTTGGGATGCCAGTGTGCTAGGGGAGTCATATATGACCAGTGCTGCCCCCTTTTTTCCTCCGTGTGTAAAGGCTGTAATAGTCTTTTTTATGGGTTTGTGGCAGAAGAGCCAAGGTGGGAGCCAGCGAAATACTGGAATAACTGACATCCATTTATCTTTGGGATAGTGATTATCAATTTGTCCTGGGAAGCCTATTAAGCTAATTGAAAAAGAGGAGTGATGTTTTAGGAACCATTGTACATCTGATAATGGGAAGGGGATAATAAGGGTATCAGGTTCTTTTCCTACAATTTGTAGGGTTGTTTTTCTTCCTTGATGAATCATAGATGCAAGAGTGTCTACTTCTGTAAGAAGGCGAGGAGCACCCCCTACTGGCATGTGAAGCCATTCTAGTACTCCGTGTGGCTGATGAATTGCTCCCACCATGGTGGGGAAGGAATTAAAAATTAAGAGTTGAACTGGTAGCTTGGGGTCATATCTGGCTAGTGATGCCTTTTGGAAGTGGTTATTAATTATTTGGAGAGCATTTTTTGCATCTGGGTTTAGATACCGTCTGGAGGCTGGGTTTTTGTCTCCCTTTAAGAGATCAAAGAGTGGCTGTAATTGACTTGTGGGGATGGAAAGCCATGGCCTTAGCCTTATTTGTAGGTTAACAAGAAAAGCTTCTACCGATGGGGTTTTTGGGTCCTGAGGCCATTGTGTCTGGAGATTCTGGGGGCGGCAACTCCCATTATCCCTGAGATCACAGAGCTGTTCAATGGCTGTGGGGTGTGGCACCACAGGAGGTGAAGTGGGAGGGGGATTTATCTGGGGATCTTTGGGAGTTTTTGAAGTCTGGACATTAACATCTGGCCTTGTTAAATCAGCAAGAGGGGGGTAAGAGTTATTTTTGTTATTGGGTGAGTTTTGTCTGACTTGGTCGAATTTTATTTTGGGGGGTTTGAATCTGCTACTGGGCAATCTTCAGGATTTTTTTCTTTATTTTTTAGGGCTGTCGAATCCGCTCTTGGGAAATCTTTAGGGTCTTTTTTATTTTCTACGGCTGTTGAATCTGCTGCTGGAAAATCTTTAGGGTCTTTTTTATTGTTTGATCCCTCCCCTTTGGGCAATCTTTAGGGTCTTTTTCATTGTTTGAACCCTCCCCTTTATTATCCCCTGGTGCTAGTAAATTCTCCTCAGCCTTAAGTGGGTTTCCTAAGCATTGTTGGATGACAGCTATTACGGAGAGGCAGGAAAGGGGAAAATGGTGCTTTTCTTCGGTTTCCTTTTACCAGCCAGATAGGCAACACGTGTCCAGACTTCTGGGTAGGAAATGTCTGCTGACAGGATCCAGGGTGTGAATTGAAATGCTTCATTCCAAAATTTTGAGCCTTCCTTTCGGGAAATCTTAAGTCCTTTTGATTTAAGTAGGGCTCTAAGGGAGCAAATTTGGAGGATTTTTGGCATGATGCTGAATTACCCATTATAGAAAAGAAAAGAAGTGTTGTCAGTGACGTTCAATGTTCCTGGGGCAGTCTGCCACCAGGGGATTGAAACGTTCTGACGAACACAAGCCTAGCTGCAGATTTAAGGGACTGGCAACCGTCCTTGTGACTTTTAACTGGTTGCTGTGTTACCAGATTTTTATGATAGTTGTAAAGATTACTGCCTACACCAAGTCGAGCTGTCGGGGTCTGGAAAGAGGGCAGGGGGCCTTCAGCCAATATCAGGGAGTCACCCTGACCAAGAGGCTTCAGTTGCCCGCAAACCTTATCCAGGCCCCCGCAAAGGCAATAACCGAGATAAAGCAAAGAGAGAGAGATGGGGTGGTCCTCTGATGAGCCCCTTCCCCAAGAGAAGGTTTACAGAAGAAAATTTGTTTGTTTGTTTGTATGGCGCAAGCCACCTTGAATTTTTAAGTGCTCTGCAGGGGCTAGTTAATTTAAATTCTCACCTAACTGGTTTAGCTTG